CTCCCCAGTCAAAGGCCACGCCTTTCTGGGGTAATGCTATAAGGGGTGTTGTGATCCGAGAGAAGTTCTAAATGAATCTACGGTAGTAGCCAGCAAGGCCTGGAAATCGACGAATTTCTGTAGGTGTCTTCGGTGCTAACCAGTTCTCAATAGCTTTAATCTTGGATGGGTCCACGTTGATTCCTTCCTTGCTAACCACATGTCCTAAGAATTCGACTCTTCGGATCCAAAATTCGCACTTAGAGAACTTCGCATATAACTTCTCTGATCATAGAGTTTCCAGGACTTGTCGTAGATGATCGCTATGCTCCTTCTTACTTCGAGAGTAGATGAGTATGTCATCAATGAAGACGATGACGAACTGATCCAAGTAAGGACGACACACCCTATTCAGTAAGTCCATGAATATTGCGGGTGCGTTCGTCAGTCCGAAGGGCATCACTACGAACTCGTAGTGTCCGTAACGAGTTCGGAAAGCTATTTTCGGAACATCATCCTCGAGCACTTGTAACTGATGATACCCGGACCTTAGATCAATCTTGGAAAAATAACTCGCCCCTTGCAGTTGGTCAAATAAATCGTCTATACGGGGGAGAGGGTTACGATTTTTTACTGTGAGTTTGTTGAGCTCTCTATAATCGATGCACATACGGAACAATCCATCTTTCTTCTTTAGGAACAAGAGCGGCGCTCCCCAAGGTGAGAAGCTTTGTCTTATAAAGCCCTTATTGAGCAGCTCGTTAAGTTGACCGGACAGCTCTTGCATCTCAGTAGGTGCTAGACAATAGGGCAACCTAGCTACTGGGGTAGCTCCTGGAATTAAGTTGATCCTGAACTCGACCTGGCGTTGGGGAGGTACACCTGGTAGCTCTTCTGGAAAAACGTTGGGGAAGTCGCATACTACGGGGAAGTCTTTTAGATCTTTCGCTATCTGGCTCGTGTCGACAACGTGTGCAAGGAACACACGATATTCTTTACGTAAGTACTTCTGGGCTTGAATGCTCGAGATGATGCGAAGACTCATACTGGATTTGTCTCTGTAGATTAACAAAGTTTCGCTATTCGTTAGATTTAGACGGATTGCCTTGTCGAAGTACAGGATATGGGCACGATGGAGACTCAACTAGTCCATGCCCACGATGATGTCGAAGCTTTTCATTGCCACTGGTATAAGGTCAATAGGGAATGAATGATTATCTAGTGTGAGGGTGCAAACTATGTAGATCTCGTTAGAACACTTTGTCTTTCCGTTAGCCATTTCTACGATGAAGATTTCTTTTAATGGTTGTGAGGATTGTTTAAGTAAGTGTATAAAGTTTTGGTTTACGAATCTTCTTTCTGCTCCACTATCGAATAGGATACAAGCATAGGAGTTATTGAGAAGGAACGTACCCGTGACTACTGTGGGATTTACTACTACTTCATTGTGGCCAATAGCAAGTAGTCTCCCTGTTCCTCCCGCATTCCCAACTTTCGGGAAATTTCTTTTGA